AATTCTAACATTTGGGTTATCTTGGTTTTGGAATCTGTTGATTTTCTTTTTTCTTAAGAGGTGTTTAGTTTTTCCTCATTTTTTTATGGCCAGTAATTTTGAATATTACATTATGAGATTCTGGACTCTGTTTAAATCGTCTGGATTTGTGTTTTGTGTGTGTGCATGATTTTTTATTTTAGCAGGTGGTCAACTCAGTTAAGATCAGAGTACATCTCCTTACCCACTTCCTGTGGACTGTGGTTCCAATGTCAATTCAGTTTTCAAAGCCTTTGCAGTGCTGTTCTGGTCCATTTTACTTGTGTCTCTCCCAGAGAATAATCTGAAATTTAAGTGTTCAGAATCTTCTTTGTGCTGATTCTGGTTGGATTCATGCATGCACAAATTCAGTGTAGGCTCAGGACTTTATACACAGATTTAAAGTATTTCTTCCTTTAGCTTCTTCATCTCCATGATGTACTCCTCACTTTTTGATTTTGAAGGCTCCTCTTCCAGCTCTTCTGTGTAGAAAGCCAGAGCTTTAGCTTCCTCACATTCTTGCCAAGGTTCAATCTCGCAAAGTTTACCTCTACAGTGTCCCTGGGGAGAAGGGACTCTGTCTTTTTCCTAGCACTCGCTTGGAATATGGAAAAGCAAGTCAACAGGAATCCACTCGCAGGGACTGTATGGCTACTGGTGTGGAGGGCAAATGGCACTGAATCTTTCCAGGCTCTCTTGGTGGAGGGTATATGGCATCAACAGGGTTGCTACAGTTCTGTATGAAGGAAGAAGAGCACTGCTTCTTTGCTGGAGTTAATCTGGAGTAGGGAGAATAAAGTCAAAATGATTCTGTGTCCCAGATCATCTGCTGCTTTTTGCTGGACTTCTGGCTAGACACAGCAGGCATTTCTTGGGGCTTTTTTGTCTCTATTCATTGGCAGTATCATGTTTTGGATTACTCTAGCATCTAGGCCCAATATATGGGAGGCAAAACCGATGAACAAACAAACCATAAGAACAACAAACATTAAAAAAAAAATCTCCAAACAAACAAAAAGCGAACAGGGAACTCACTATCAGTTTGTCTCTCAAGTTCTGTTAGTTCTAATAGAATCCTCTGATCTGTAATTTAGCTCACAGTCTTTAATTGCAATTAGTAGATGT